GTTGTCTTCATATTTGAGAGTCCACATAAGTTCTGAGACTCACTGTAGCCTGGTTGCAATGGATAGAGAGGTAGTTAGCTGTGTTAGCCATAGCATAGCACCAGTAAAGGATCTTCTAAATGCCCCATGTCTTAGGCAGATACTTTTCCTGAAATGTCTGTCCCCCTTTATCAAACAAGCAGCAATATGAAAGATCACCTCTCTGTTTTTGATAAAAGTAATTCCCAGTGGAGACTTTATTTGCTATGCAGACTGAGCTGTTTCAAAGCAGTAGAAAATTTTACCTTTACAAGAAATGAGTGTCAGTTGAACTCTCTTTCTCAAGATATTTAATACCCTGAATATAAAATAAATGGTCCAAATCCTAAGGTGTTTTTTTTGGGCCAAAACACCTTTTCATTGCCTACTCGAATGTATATAGGCAGCAGAAGAGTAGTTAGGAGTCAGGAAGTGATGTCTAGTTGATGAAGACTGCAGAACTTGTTTCAAGTTTTGGCGCACTTTCTGAAGTTTGTTTAATATGTTCTGCAACTTCCTTGTATAAAGGTGCAAAGGGAACAAGATATTGGCAGAAACCAGGTTTTGTACAGTGCTATGAATTGATAAGCTATTAATTTGCTAATCTTTTCACAACCTCTTGTTGGGTTCAGCTTTGATTTGGGCTGGGATTTGCTCCTGGGTAATTTTAAAGTTTTACAGATGAATGAACTGTGTATACATTTCCCAGAAAGAAAATTCCATTTTAAGGATCATTCTCTATAAGTCCTTCATTCGTTTAATGTGTGTGTTTTTGTTTGTTTTTTTAAAAGCTGAATTTATTTTTGCTTGAAATAGGAAGCAAATAATTCTTCTGGCAAATGCAGCCAATGTCTTCACTGTTCAATTTAGTTACCACACTGCAAGTCATCAGCATTATGGTTAGGGGTGTCTCTTCCTGGAAAGCTGGCGTGCAGTGCAAATAAGGGAGGATGAGATATTCATTAGGTTCAATGCAACTTTCAGAGAAGTTTACCTTGATTTCCCTGGAGCTCTGCAACATATAAGGATCCCTGTGATTCGTTTATAAACCATAATTTTCTATAGATACATTTTCAGTGCTTTAAATCGCATTGGTTTGCAACTGTGTATAGACTTTAAGCTATTTGTGTGCAATTTTTAAGCCTCTTTAATTATAGAGAATCATACCTGCCAAAATGTCTTCTTGCTTCAGATGATATTTTTCAACCTTCATTAAGTTTAAAAAATGACCTTTTTATGGGCAATGACTAATATGGATGCGTGCCCGTGACATATTTTGGGGGTAGGTGGTCTGCTGGTTAATGGAAAACCTCCCAAGTTCTATTCCTGGCTCTTCCACTTACTCACTGTGTGTTGCTGGACAAATCCTTTCCCTTCTCATCTCATTTTTCCCATCTCTAAATTAGGGATAGCCATAATGATCCATCTTTGTAACAAGATGTGTGGAAGGAAATCGTCACAGTGCTTTAGTAGAAGTGCAGAGAATTTTCAGGCCAAATGTGAACACAGCTAAAATGTTCATAATTAATTTTGAAATCCTGAGCATGGATCTTATGCCATTGTTATTGTTGTTATTTATACAATTTCCATTAACAGTCTTCAGAGAGTATTCTTTTATTTACGAGCCCTCATTTTTCACTGATCGTTTGAATAGCAATGGACGTGTCTACATGTGCATTTATGCCAGCTTATAACTTTACTGCGCAATAAGTGGGAATAGGCAGATATCTACACGTGCAGGCATTAAAGCTCGTTAACACGGTGTATGGACAGATTTGGGGCTAAAGTTAGTCACAAGTCAGTCCACACGCACAATATTACTGCGCAGCAAGGCATCTACATGCGTGTTACTGTGCAGTAAATAATCGGGTGTACATTTGATACCTGCATGATTCAGGTATCAAATTTACCCTCAAGTCAGATTAGGCCACCATATTTACTGCATAGTACGGGCGTACACGTGAGGACACATGCCCATACTACACAGAAATTTTGGTTACTATGCAGTAAATGGGCATATGTAGATGCGCCCAATGAGCATCTTCCTCCCCAGTACCTGTGGGTAAGTATCATTGCCATTCGCCCACTTTTCAGCATGGCTGCAGATGGGCACAAGGAGAACTCAGAGAGCAAATAGAAGATGACTGATGACATGAGATACTTGTAGAGGAAGGCTCGTAGCGGTAGCAGAGAGCATGAAAAAATTAAGCGAAGATAGGATAATTGGGCTAAATTCTGTCCTATGCAGTTTTATTGTAGTCAGGGTTCCATGGTGGTGTACATCTCTTGATTATCCAAGAGTATTTTCATTAGGGCTGTGCGAAGCTTCAGGTGGTGATTCAATTCGGAGGAGATTCGGCCTGATTCAGTGGCCGAATCTCCAAATTCTAATCGAATCAAGGGACCAATTTAAATGTCAGAATCAATTCAAAGCTCTCCACACCTTTGGAAAAGATTCGGAGAGCTTCGATGTTTCGAGCGGTCCCTGGTGCCTGCAGCAGGGAGCTGCAGCCGACTCCAGCTGGTAAGTACTAGGGCTGGGCGAGGGGACCATGGGGGGCCCCCTGCCAGCCTGCCCGCTCCCTCAGCCCCCCCTGACCTGCGCCCGCTCCCCCAGCCCCCCTATGGCAGGCCTGCCCTCCCCAGCTCCTGGTGCTTTAAAAAAAAGCCCCGGTACTCACCGGGTGCTGCTGGGCGGGGGGGGAGGGGGGTGATCCCCGCTGCCCCCCACAGCATGGGGGGCTCTCCACGAGCCCCCTGGCCACCCCCTTGCTCCCCCAGCCCCCCACGGGTGCCCTGGTGGGCCCCCTCCGGCCCTTTAAGAAAAAAAAGAACTGAAGAAACCCTGGGACTCACTGCTTCTGCCAGAAGGGGTGATCCCTGCTGCCCCCTGCCACATGGGGGGCTCTCCACGAGCTCCCAAAGCCCATCGGCT